GTTCACTGTCTGCTCACACACACTGATTCATCTGACGTATGGAAGCTTTAACATATATTGAAAAGCTTGAGTTCAACATGAAAAATGATAACATGAAAATATGAACCCATTTTACAGCAGTGTCTCCAAATATTACTGCTGTAAACAAACCTTTAAAAGCATCATGACTGACTCAGATTGGTGTTTTTTAAAGAGCTGTCACTCACTGTGAGAGTGATGAGAGGTGTCGGTCTGTCGTTCTGGTGGTTTCTACTCTCCGTTATCTGAACCGTCTGTCTGCAGCCTTTTTGAGGTCATTTTCACACCTCCAGAAACTGTGATTAATATAAACAGCGACACATAATTATACCTCAGTGAGAACGTCATGTAGGGTCATGTGAACAGTTTTTACACACTGCGTTTGGGTTGGATTACATTAAATCTGAGTTTAGGAATGTATAAAATGAACAGTGGTGTTTCGGATCAGCTGTTTACTGCCGGCTCTCACGGTGGAACCGGAGGTGACGGCGTTGCTGCAGTCGACGTTTTACAGGTTTAGAAGCGTGTCAGCGTTAGCCACTGTTCCCCCGGCGATGTGATGAGTCCTGACGTGCCGCGGTCGGCCGTGGTGGAGTTCTTCCCTGAAATATTAACTGCACTGTCAGATCGGCTGGTCCTCCCTGCTGTCTGCTAGTCCGCACACATCCAGCTGCTCAGCAGGACGCCTGATTCAGGCTGAAACCTGGAGGTGACCGCGCTCATCCTGCAGTAATATTTCACCACTGCAGACCATAATATGTGTGCGGTAACTGAAAGCTCAGTGTCAACAGCTTCACCAGATACACTACATTTCAGCTTTGAATGGGAAACCCCCAAATTCTCTCTGCAATAAATAACAATATGTTTAATTGATTAATGTCATCCTTACTCACCAGACAGGCCATTTTCTGTTCAGCTCCACCATCCTCTGCCCCTGATCAACCAGAGAGCTGTGTGAGGTTCGATGGTGGACTGAAACCAGCTGCTAGAGT